CATAAGCTTGCTGGAAAAAAAAAGCTCTGAATAACAGTGATAAAATTATGGATGTTATTGAGTTGAATAACATGATGAAGTTAAGGGCAGACTGAAACAGTCTGCAGTCCTGGTCTCACTGTCTCTAAAAGAATATAGCTGAACTGGAAAATGCTCCAAGAAGGACAACATTGTTTCAAAGGTGAACAGAATAACTTTCATCTAAGGAGTGACTGAATATAATTATAATGTTTGGAAAAGAGAAGCGAGATGATAACCTAGGGAATGATGGAATCTTCCAATACAATAATTAGATTTTTCAAGAGATAGTCAGAGAGAAATGTTTGTTTATTTCAGAACAACAGGAGATTGTGATTTACCTAGTGTTAACTGAGAGTATGGAAGTTCTTACTGGCAACTACTGCTTCAAGGTATATAAAACATATCTGAAGTGCATTAAATGCCAAATTGGTTCAGAAAGCACCTGGAGAAACTTGGAGGGAAAAATGTTATGGGACATTAATCACAAAAAGATCATTTCCAGCTCTGCAAGTCTGAATTGTATACCTCTGGAACATGAGGAAACTTCCTGTCGAAGCCTATTTTTCCTGCTGTATTTTTTGCCATAAACATCTGGTATCAATTTCTGTTGTAAATGGGATACTTTGATAGATGGAGGTTTGCTATTGCTTTTAAAACTATTTATTGCTTTTACTTTACTTTCCTTCAAAGCATCCGGAGACAGACTCATTCTTTATGACATGATAATGTTTATTTTCTTGCAAAAATTCTTTGACATTAATCTTTTAGGTACACATCATGGTAATTAGGAGATATAGTATAAACATATAGGTTGGATTAGAGTTGGATCACATGTAAAAGGAAGGATTTCTTTATAATTTTTTTTCCCATTTACTTAACTGATTTTGAGCATTCTGAACACCCTGTAGTTGTGTCTTATTAGTAGAAACTGCAAAATTATGATAATGATCCTCAAATGTTAGTAAGTGCCAGTGGAGGACTTCCTGTTGAATGATTGAATCTACAATGTCACTGGCTATTGGATCTCAGAGAATGGTAATTGCTATGGAAATTGTTCCTCATAAAATGGGTAGCTACTTATTTGGTCAAAAGTCACTAAGGCAAACAATGAATTCATTATTTTCAGAAAGATTGGATAAATTTCACACACACACACACAGAGATACATATACATGAGTTGGTAGTGGTTATTTCAGAGAACTGAAGAGTGCACAATGTATGTTCCCTTAGCAAATGAAAATCGTCTGAGCTTTATGTTGTTCCTTACTGCAATCAAACAACTTAGAGCATAAACTATTTTTCTCAAGAGTGTATGTTTTACCAAATACTATTTCCAGTAGTCCTTGTGTTCAAACTCTCAGGTTACAAAGATATTTGCTTATTTGTTTTGTAAATAAATAGTTACTGTATTCCTTTTTTTTTAAGATGATGGGATCATACAATTTTGAATTGCCAAATCTAATGTCATGCTTGCCAAAGCGTGTCTAAAAAATAGAGATTTGTGTAATACTGTCACTCATGCAGCACATATTGCCGCTTTATACTAGAAAGGAAAATCACTTAATTTGAACATTACAGTTTTGCATTCTACAGAGAAGTTTATTTGCCCCTTACTCCTAGCTGAATTCACTAAAGATCATTCTAGCTTTTCAGAAATTCAGATTTCCATATTCCTACAAGAATTTCTGCTACATTTATAACGTTTGTTGTTGGCAATCATTTGGAAATGCTGTTAATTTATCTGTATCTGAAAAAAGAGGAACAGTTTAGGCATGACTTTTGTCCTCTAAGCATCATTCTCCTGCCAAACATATGATGCATGTCAGTATGTAGGAAGGACTAGTGGCAATCTAGGTTATTGGTATTGATTGGTATAAGATAATGGAATTAGTCATTCTGGTATATGGAGTGCGATGTTGGTTACATCCAAACTGCATCCAAATTAGTTAATTTATCAACAATGAAGTGAATGTCTGTCTTCTTCCTTAAAGCACAGTGATAAAAAATTAGAAGTAAAAAATACTGTCTGAATAATTTTCAAAACTTTCCAGCATTAAAAGAGTACTGAAATTTGAGAATAACGTGCACATCTACACATAATTTCAGCAACACTAAAGTGCAACGTGCTCTACATGATTGACTGACTAATGATTTATTCATAATTTAATTTAAACTTCTGTTACATTATTCTGAGTTAACTTTCTTGAACAAGAGTATGTCTTAAAAGAATTATTAGATCTCGATTAATGTTTCAAATGAAAGCAAATTCAAGGAAATTTAATGTGATGCTTAAGTAATAACTACTTTTGTTACTAACAATGCCCCCTAATTTGCAGTCTGACTTGAAGCCAGTCTAGCTGCCAGCATGGGCTTCTCTCTGTTATGCCATTACCTTCTGTAATGCTATTCTCTTTTTCTTTGGATCTTTATCCATTGCGGTCCTTCAACCCCTCAAGACTATTTGGCTTCACAAAGAGTAACTAAATTCCTCAGACCCTTCACCAGAGGGCATATTTTTCAATGCTTTATTCATTTTGATCTTTCTCTACCTTTCTGTCTAACTTCTCATCCCACTTGCAGGATGGTTATCAGATTCAGGTAACACCGAGATAATTCAACTTTCTTTTGCTCTCAGACTTTTTATAAAGTTCATTGTCTTCATTAGATGTTTCCCAAATGCCAACAGGATGTCTGAACTATTACTTCTGTTTTTTCCATGTCATTGTTAAAAATTATCTGTGGTAAAGAAGTAAATTGTATGTCCTTCCTTTAGAAATACTTCCGTTCAGTTCATACCCTTTTGCCATACTGAAATATGAAATTTAAAATATTTTCATTCAGTGAATGTGTTTGATGGTTTTACAGTATTAGTTATCTTACAGAACTTTGTTTCATCAAATCTATTATTTTATAGAATTTTATTTTATATGGTTTGGGTTGGAAGGGACCTTAGAGATGACCCAGTTCCAGCCAACCCCGTTGCCTTGGGCAGGGACACCTTCCATTAGACCACATTGTTCAAAATCCTCTCCATCCTGGCATTGAATGTTCCAGGGATGGGGATGCACAGCTTCTCTGGGCAGGACATTCAGTTTTACCATTCAGTTTTAACTAAACTAACTAGCTAGTTTTATGAACAACAAGATAATAAATTTAAAATTTCACCTAAAAGCCATCGAGGCAATTATTATGTATTGTCATTTTAAGGCAATACTTAATAGGAAACCTGGTGTTTATTATTTGTTCTCCATATACAGACATTTTCTTTCTGCCAGTTTTGTGCTTGAGTGCTGTAACCAATGCTTTGTAGTTAAGAATGTTGCTCTTTTAAGTTTCAGCTCTATTGTTCAGACTACTTGGTGACTCAGACAAATGCCATTTCATCAGTCTTTGAAGTCTGGAAATAATTTTTTGTACTTGGTAATAAAGGAAAAATACAGGAAAAAGCAATTATTTATTTCCTCTATTGTTACCCCACCCATAAAAACAGCAGGTATTGCAACTGCCTAAATTCACTTCTAATGATCGATAGGTGTGTTTTATTTCAAACGTGTAAGAGGTGTTTCCTTCTATTGGATGATTTCTTACCAATAGAGTAATTGGCTCTCTCAGATATTTTCATTAATTATAATTACATGAAAAACTGTTTTACCAGATGTAACAGTATTTTCTACGTTTTTGTGAACGGCATTTTGTTTATTCTCTACGTCTCTCTTATTTGAAAAACATATTTCTTGGCACATAATTTGATTTTTAAAATATGTGCCTTTTTTCTTCCTTTTTCTCAAGATAATATTCAAGTGTATGTCAGGTATATTCCTCAAAACAGACTCAGTATATACCTTCAGAGAGGACACACACACAGAAGGAAAATCCCTGCTATTTTAGGGCTGGTAAGGCAGTTTACCATGTATTCTGTATTCTGAAGATCAGTATAAATCACTACAATTCCCCCAAAACATTATGGCAAGGTTCAATACTGTGTTTCACATGTAAAACTGAGTAAAAGATAAATAACACCTATTTTTAGGGAACTTCTGCACATTTTATTTTAGGAAGTTCATTCTAATTTCAAGGAATAACTTACGCAAGATCTAATAAACCGTATGGTGCAATACATATTATTCTCCACTTCTGTTGTATTTCTGGATTGAAAAAAACATTAATGAAGAATGAGAATTTAAAAGAGACAATAATTCAATCTCTTGCCTGAAATGAACACAGCGAGGACCACTGTGATTATAGTTACATGTCTACCTTCACCATTATTCTTTCTTCTTAGTTTCTTGTAGTATGGTTATAAGCCATTTCTTGTTTGCATTCATTGTTTCTAAACAATGTTTAAATACAAAGTACTTACTTCCTCCATGTTCTATAGTCCACTAGGAATATAAACAGGTTGTTTCATCAGTGAATTCTGATTTCATAAATATCAGCATTTGCTCCATAGTTTGTTTGATATGCTCTTTGGTCCCTCTTCCACACACGTATCACACTTTCAGCAGAGTGAATTGTCATGAGTCTGTAAAACAGCATTCCACCAAGAGAGTTTGTCTGGGGTTAGCTGATTAGACATGTCACTTCATTTTATAGCAGGCATTTTTCCAGTTTGCCTCATGCCCCAGGCAGCGTGGTGCTGGAGCAGACAGATGCCCCTTTTTCTGCAGCGTGCACCTGGATTCCCATCCCCCTCACAACAGGCATGGGGATGGAGATGCTGTCCAGGCTCTTGCCCTGATTTCTGAGAAGAGTACAGCCAGGACAAAAACAGTAGGCTAGAAAGTTCTGACTGTTCTGACTGCAACTGGGAGCCCCAGTGGACAAAACTCAGCCCAAAATATGAAGAGAACAAATGTCAGTTTTATTGCTCTTTTTGGTTATCCGAAAGCTCTAAAGCACTTTTTAACCTAATTCTCTGAATAATGTTATTTCACTTACAAAATTGGAGTGTTTTTACTGTCTCCTGTTTATTCTTTCAGGATTTGTGGATTTAACACTCCATGATCAGGTCCATCTACTGGAATGTGCCTGGTTAGAGATACTGATGATCGGCTTAGTCTGGCGCTCCATGGAACACCCAGGAAAGCTTTTGTTTGCACCTAACCTGTTACTGGACAGGTCAGTCTGCATGTTGCTGTGAATTATTTGAGTTAACTTATTTCTGCTGCAATCAGATTAATTTTTAGCATGATATCATCTCACCAATACTACAATTTGACTGTACATCATGTGTCAAGCAGGCTTATGGTAGGTGACACTGGAAAACGAATGCTCAGGAATGTGATACTGGTCATTTATTGGACAAGTAACACACCTGAGATTCATCTGCTGCTTGAAGTGATTCCTTTCAAAGTCAGCAGTAAATTTCTCTTATAATCGCTGCTGTTTGTTGCAGAAGTAATTTAAATTAAAAAAGGAACACTATTCATTTAATTCAGATAGCTATTTTTGTTCATTTAAAATCCTCCTAGTTTTTCTTAGAATGGATTTTTCCAAGCAGCCAGACAAAATTTTGGAAGAAAATCTTCATAGAATCTCAAGTGTAGTTTTATTTATTTATAGAGAATATATGAAGCTTGGGGTTTTTTTTCCTCATGAAAACTGGAGACAAATATGTCAAACACATACTTGCTCCCTTCACTAAGCTTTTTTTTACTTGCTAATATGATAAGTATTTCTGAGAGAAAAAATATTCATCTGTGCTGTATGGCAATATCCTGGATTTTAGCTGGCAGACTTCATTTTAAAAGCAAGAAGACTGATAATTTAAAATATATTTTCTACTCTCTTGATATAAATTCAAGCTCTCTTTTCCTAGTCGTGTGAAAAGTTTCATGAAAAATTTCAATTAAATTTTCAGACAAAATTTCTTAGGATAGAGTAATCTTAGCTATTGGTGCCCCTTTTAGTTGAAGACTACTGCCCACACAGCAGAGCTGGCAGGGGAGAGCTGCTGTGCACAGAGGTCACTTCTTTGGCATCTTGGTCTAAACTGGAAGTGGCAGAAGAGCCAAACTGAGATGGAGTATTCAGAGAGGCAGCTAAGAGCTGGGCAAGCTCCTGACCTCATCAGGTAGCTGCCAGGGCAGAGGGGTGGCAACAGAATGTCAAGGGCAGTGCCCTCAGCTACTGCAGCTACCAGGGGGTGTAAATTAATCAAAATTCTCATTAGCAGAAAAATTTCTTATGATCAGCTTGCTCTGTTGACTGTGGGGTACTGAGTTTCCATGGTTGCATTCATGCAGTGTTAATCCTTTGATTCCCTGCCCTCTATTTGCACACATCCCCCCAGGACTTACTTTTAGCATTTTAGTAAAATACAAATGATAATACCTAACTGGATAAAGCGTAATATTTCCCAGTAACAGAGAAATGCTTATTGCCTTAGGAAAAATCTTATTCCACCTGTGTAAGCACAGTGATCTGTGAGCTATGGATCTAGAAGAGTATAAAATACATTCTTGTTTTAGGTACAGAAAATATCTGCTTGTCTAAATGTAAGTATAGTCTGCACAATAATTTTGAAATTTTGGTCTTCTTCAACTTAAAATCCACATGTTCTCAGTAAAATGGAGTTTAAGCAGTTGATTCACACAGTTTTAAGTCAACTGTTGGATTAAAGAAAACCATTGCATGCCACTAGAACCACATATTACTTCAGAGCTCTTTGTTTTCTAGATTTCAATTGAGACTGTAAAAATGTAGATCTATTACATCTTCTGATTTTCAAATAATAAGAAACATGTTTCTAAGTCATCGTATACTTGCCTCACTCCATTTGGTAGGGATATTTGCAGAAAGCAAAATAATAAATTACTTGACTCTGGGAAGTAGTGATATGCTAATCAGTTAAATAACTCTTAATTTACTTCTTAATTAGTACTAAAAATATTTTGATGTGGTAATTTGATTTGGGCAAATTGGCTTTTGAGAATGTTATAGAGCAAAAATCTGTTGTTTGTCAGGTTTCAGAGGGCAGGACAGGCACTGGTTCCAAGCCTGTTTCTCTCAATGAAGTCCTTCCACTGGATCAAATATTCATAGAACTGTGAAATGGTTTGGGTTGGAAGGGACCTTAAAGATCACTAGTGCCAGCCCCCCTTCCATGGGCAGGGACACCTTTCACTAGACCCCATTTCTCAGAGTCGCATCCAACACTTCTATATTTAGTGAAAACTCTCTATTGTTAATATAGAGTTTTACCACACTTTGTGTATGCCTCTAGATCTTTGTAATCATTCTGTTGCAGACATCCTCTCTGATCTGAGAACTCCTTTCATTTTAGCATTCAGGCTTATCCTGATTCTAACAGATTCTTTTTGTCAAGGACCTTCGATATAGGTAGTCGTTTGTATACATCTGTTCCTAAAGCTTAGGTCACACCAAATTTTATTATACAACTTTTCTTGCCCTTTGGCTAGATAAATACAGTCTTGTCTTGTTAACATCTATCTGAAATGTCATAAAAATAACCTTTCAGCTTTGCTGTTTTTTGAAAATAATGTGATCATTCTTCTCCCATCTCACTCCTCCTACTTGGGTCATATTAGACATATGCTTGTCTTGTCTCTGAAGATATTTGGAAACTGTCTTTTCTAATTCTATGCGAGTCAGCCAGTTACATTTTTAAATAATTACTTCTTCAACTTTCCTTTGCGACAATTCACACTTGGAAGACTTCTTGAAAAAATCTGTAAATCAGGCCTTAATTAATAATTCTATGTTGCTTTTAAAAATTTTTCTTTGCCTGTAAGAAAATAATTGCGCAACAATTAAGTTGACAGTATGTGTAGACTGCTGTCTTCTGTGTGGATGAATATGATTGCGTTATCTCTTTTTCTTCCCAGTCTGCATTGTAATTAGTGCATTTTGTGAGATAAAGCATCCTTTCTTATTCTGTTAATGCATTACCCAAATACTTGAGTCTTGGTTCAAAATTTTAGCAGTCTGCCAGTTATGTAGGACTAGTAGACTTTTACAGTGTACAACTGCTGCTATTAAAATGCTCAAATGACAATAATTATAGATTAGAAAAACAGGCTCAATCAGGAAATACAATGACAAACTCACAGTATTTACTGTACTTTAATGTACAGTACTTACTGAAATCAAATAATAAGTTCGAGATTTTATATTCTGTTTTTGAGAATTACTATATTGTATAAGGCAAATTCAGAAGTAAAGGCCTAGGTTTCTAGTAGGACAAACCAGATGTTTCCTGTCTGGAGGATTCCCAAGAAACTAGGCCCTAAAAATGTCATTAGAACAGGGTTGGAATTTGTCAGGCATGACAGTAGACTGTTTATAATTTTGAAGAAAATGTAATGTTTCTTCAGGAATAAGAAAGTTATTTAGTTTGAAAGGATTTGTTGCATTCAGATATCATGCTGATCCCAGGTTACTCAGAGCCTTGAAACATAATTATAAAGAAAATCAAGCTAGAAGTAGCTCACTTGAAACATTCATAGTTTCAGCAAAATGGGAAATGCAGTGCTGCATTTTAAAAAGGAAGCCGGGTGACCACAGCAAAGAAGCTGATGGGATGCCATTTAAAGAAGAGAATTGGCTGAAATTGAGTGAAAATGGCACAGTGATAAAGAGTCACTGTGAATTTTGTAAGAGGAAGCCACGAATACCATGATGTCCTTTAAGAAATTAACATGCAAGGAGATGATGGACATCTTGTTGAATTTCCAAAAAGTATTAAACAAGTTCCAAATTTTATGTAGACAAATGTGATGGAATGTACATAGGAGAATAATAATTCTGATCTTCCTAAACAGCATTCTGAGTTGATCTTTCCATCTCATTGTTACCAGCGATTAGTTCTATAGAACCAGCAGTTCTTTGATTGTCAGTAGTCAGAGACTGCAGCTTTCCTTCCCCCAGAGAATGTTTACAACAGGAATAATACAGAATAATAATATTATTCTGCATTATTCCTGTTGTAAACATGAAATAATACAGATAATCACCATTCCTCTGTTTAATTCTGTGCTTAGAAAACCGTGCCTTTCTGATTTTCTTTGTCTTGACAGTAACATTGAAAGAATTGGAGAGGTACCTAGAGATGTTGTACAGAAAATTAAATAGAGATACAAGCTTTGCTACAAAGACTAACTAAATGGACTGACTTCTCTGCCTGTGATACTCATTAGAAGAATGGGAACAAAGTAAAGATGATAGAATTTGTATAAAGTCATGAGCACATTGAGAAGATGTGTGGTAGTCCTACAGTTATTATCTCTTCCAGCCCAGCCCTGGAGGTAGTTACTTGAAACCAGCAGATGCAAATGCCTGTATGCTTAGCCCACAGCTAAATATACCTTTGGTATGAGACAGTATGGCTGTCTTCATGTTATTTTCTACTGTTATTTTCTTATCGTGGTTGTAAAAAATCTCTTGTAGCGAAAAAATCTGTCTAGGGACTTATAAAATTTCAGTTCAATACAGTCAGTATTTTGCTGTTTCTATCAGGTTTTTTGCTTCTTTTTATGGAGAAAGCTAATCTGTTTTTCAGGGTTCATTTTAATCTGGAAACTTACTTCTACTTTCAGTGCTTGATGGAGATTTTTATTCTCTAAAAATAGAAGAATTTATTTTTTACTGACTTTTGTATTGAGCAATGGCAGGAGACTGTGGATCTCTTTGAACTGCAACTAACACAAATAGCAAAAAACCTCACAGCATTCACTGTGTGACAGGGTAGCTGATCAATTTACTGCTTTCATGGTTCTTTTTCTGAACTTTTCTCACTATATCTGAAAAGAATCTTTTACATTCTTTATGTAAATATATTGGTAGAGATAAAATTAGATACAATAGAAGAGCATCAAGATGAAATCTGAGTATGTTTTTCTAGTCCCTCAACCTGTAAAATGTTCCAAATATCTGAGGACATCCCCCTTGTCTGTCACTTGAGTAAATGCATGACATTTCATGTGAAATTATGGATACATTAGTAACCCTTGATTTATTAGAAAAATTGAAGCAAAGTGATCCCAAGTGCTTGATTCAGAATGCTTCCTTAGTGACTTTCTGCTTGTATTTATTTCAAAAGGGAAAAGCCCATAAGCAACAAGTATATCCTAATTAGCCCTTCAAAATGGATTTGAAAA